AAAAAAAAAAAAGAAGACCTTACTTCTCCCTATAACACAGCTGCACTTATTCTTTACACTGTGGTGAAATTGTTCATTGTTTTCTTTCCTTCCTGTGGTAATCAAGATGAAGGTAAGTTCACAGCTCTTCATAACTTAAAAGCATGACCAGCACTAATGTATGTGGAACCCTTAGTCTAAATTTGATTTTTCTGTCTTTTTTTTTGGTTTAAATCTGTACATGGGAAGCAGTTACTGGGTTGGATGCACCGTAAGCTCATGCAGAATAGCACTGAGCCTGTGAAAAATGACTCCACCGGTAATATTTTATTCCTCGAGGCTAATCATATATTATATCCTCTGTAACGGCGAAGAATTTTGAAGAAGAGTTGATGACGAGACTAAATACGATTATATTTCTGATTCTGGCAGGAAACCTTCAGGCTTGCTTCTCTTCAATCCCAAGCGTCAAACGCGAAAGATCTCCGAATGCATTTGAGCCTGCCAAATCGTATGACGAGCCCTTTGACTTCCTCTCAATCGGCACCTTTGGCACCGATCTTCTTCTCGACACGGCCCCACCAACTCCGACACTGCCAACTCCAGTCGCGGCCTTGACTGGTCAACCGATTGATATCACGGAAAACGACCTCGACCTCATAAGCCACGAGCTGGAAAAATTTCTCGAGTCTGAGGATGCGGAGACTGCGTACAACTCGTCCGAGAGGAGCAGCAAGGCTAGTGTGATAACCCTTACCGACCAAGGTAATTTGCAATTATGTCCTCTTCAGAAATATCTCTTGGCTGCCCCTGTAGGGTTGGCCGAGATGGGTCGTGAGGAGGTCAAGAAAACGAGGACTTCCCTTGAGGAGTTGTTTAAGGAGGGAAAGAAGTCGGTTGATGATGGTCCTCTGTTGAAGAAAGGCGAAGGAATGGGTGGGAAAGGGAATGTGGCTCGTCTGCTGAAGAAGTTTGTGAAGAGGTTAAGTCCCACATCAAGTGACGGCACTGCTGGATTTAATGATGATGATTACGACGATGATGCTGTTTTCAGGCCGACCAAGAAGAAATTGTCTAAGGTTGGTTCATTTTGTTCTTGAAGAAGCACATAGTAGTAGATATTTTTATTTTGGAATTTGTTGAGTTTCTTGATCTAGTGTGCTTATAGATGGACCCATGATAACACTTGTTAAAAAAGAAATTAGGCCATAGATCTTTTCAAAATGCTTTTAAGTTCGAAAACACCCACTTGGTGCTTTGGCAATCGGAAGCCAATACCACCGAAAGGTTCTTGTATGATCTTGTAGTAGTAAGAACAGCTTGATTGAAAGAATCAGAATTTGTAACTAGTCATAAATGGAGCTAGAACTATTGTAAAGACGAATTTGTAGCGCTTCCCACAATCAGTATTTAGTAGACACGTGATTTTTAAATTTCTATATCTAATAGTTGGGACATCATCACATATAGTGTTAGGTCCTCAACTCGTTCTCATACATAAAATCGGCCGAACTTATCTATCTTAATACCGAGTGTTTTCTACTTTGTAATGAGAATGCAAATGACAAACAT